AATTACTGCTGAAGAAAAATCATCTGAGGTCTTCAAATTAGTTGAAAGTTTTAAGGTGGAAAGGCCTTAGGGGATGTTGCTGCAAACTATGATGCTCTAGGACTCTTCACTAAGATAAAGTGGTTATCTCCATGAAAGTGTTTATGGTACTTTTTATAAGAGAACTGTCATCAAGAATGAGGCCATGCATTGAATCTGGAAAGATTAGATAACTCAGGGATTCAAAGATTAGCTATAGAGATGACAAAGGATTGAAGAGGCCTGTTGAGAGTCAGGGCACCAACTATAATGGCAACTGGTAAAGCACAGAGATGAAGAATCAGATACCAGCTACTTATGTTAACAGTTTAAAGAACAAAAGGAGACTAGGGAAGTAGCTTCTGTTAAAGGGAAGTAGCTTCTGCTTAAGGAAATGCAATCTGTCCCTTTTCCAGACAATCTCTGCCAAACCACCAAATTTCATTAATCCTAAAATGAAAGATCTAAGTCATAGCAAAAGAGAAATTTTCAGTTCATCACAAAACTTCAAAGTTTGATGGGACTGATTCACTGATTTCACAACTTAACACATTAGTATTTACAGCTCATAAGGGAGCATGGCTCACGCAAATGGTCATTTAGGAATTACCATGTAAGTTTTTGCCAATTAGCAAAAGGTTCAAGGATTTTACTCTTTAAGATGCTTCCCAGCCTCTGAGTTTAACCTACCTGTAGCAAGCAGAGTGTCTTTCAGGTATTTGCAATAACCTGTGTCACATTTACTGAACACCTCCAGCTTCACTGATTCTCCAGTCTCTGGCACTCCTCTGCAACTTTCAACCACCTCCCAAGACATTCCTTTCATACCAAAAGAAATTACTGTATTTCTTTCATTGGGAGGATTAATAACGTCCATTACACTTTCCTGCACTCCTAACCATTGAATGTCTTGCTTTTCCTCTCTCTCTTCTCTCTCCACTTTTTTCTCAAAATACTAGTTTCCTATAAAGTAAAATCCTCCCTCCTGAATAAAGTTCCTCACTATCCACCCTCAAAAAACCTATAATTTTAAGATGCAATGCATTTTAAATAGTCTGTATAATCCAGCAGAAATTTTATGCAAAGGACTTCTTTATCCTGAAAGAATTTAGAACCAAATCATTTTGGTCTAAAACAGAGGTATTGGGAACTACATTTGTTAGTGCATATGAAGTTTCTACATTCAAAGGACAGTAGGTCCTGGGATGGTCTAGCATTCTATTCTGTATTTATCTACCCATACACACAAGTACATATAAATTTATAAACAGACATCTACCTTCCCAGGGAGGAGGATGACATATGTCCAATTTTAAAGTGTTACACTGGTATCATAAATCAAGCAAATACAACCTTAAAACGGCCAAGCCAACAGGAGAGGTAGTCTGGCACATGCTGTGAGGTAAGCCTGGAAGAATGATGAATCTCACAGTTGCAGAGGATGAGCTTCGTTACTCCCCAGGGCAAACTTTGAAAACGCCTTGTCTGGACCTTTCCAGTCAGGACAGCCGAAGTGCAAGTCTTAAAATTAAGGTACACTTTCAAAACATTCTCATTCTGCAGCTATGACTCAAGAATGAATGGAGCTTGAGTTTACCAAAAACCTAAAATAATTCCTTAACTGGGTATTATTTTTGCATGAATGCAAAAGTCAGTGTCAAGCATCAACCTCAGCACTTTGTACTAAGCAAAACACAATTTGGATTTTTGGTAGCGCAAGCTCAGCCTTTTACACAAGAAATGTGATCTAACCTGAAGTAATCAATCCTGATAGGTAAAAGAGAAATGCCTAGTTCATCTAAGCAGAAAGCCCCAAGGTTATGAAATCCTCCGTCAGTTTGTGCTCATCACTAAACAACTTGGTAATGAACATGCTTTTTGACAGAGCCTCAAGCTGTTACACAAACACATTTAAAGACGCAGAGCTTTACAGTGAAAAATCTCCTCTAACTCTGGAGATCTGCCTATTCCACAAGGCATATAGAGGAAAAAATACAGATACTGAGAAAAAAATACTGAAGATAAAAAGGAAGAAAAAAGGGAGATGAGGAGGGCATGGGGAAGAGATAAGAGCAGGTGAAATGCCTCATAACTCTACCAAGAAGGCAATTATGAGCAGATTACAATTGATTTTCTATCTATTTGCTAACTGAAATAACTGCAGTTTGAGACCAGGAGGTAAAAGAAATGACTGCTGCTTATTACACCATCTCACCTCTGTTCTTGTTATATTCTACTTTTAACATATAATTTAGTAATTAAGATGAAGAGTCAATTCTTTCAAGCATAAAAATATGGGCTTGTTCAATTAATGGGTTTCTTGCTTCAAACATATGGCAGAAGTGGTACATTTATTGTAAATATTTAGTAAGCTTGGAGACATGAGGCATTTTAAACATTACTATACATAATAAGAGATATAAGGAATCGCTATACAACAACTTCAGTCTGAGGACAAAAACATTTCAGTCTCTTCAAAGAAACAACTCACTGCAGTCTTGGTACAACATCTGTTTCTCACAGTACCTCAGATACAGTTTTCAGTACCACAAGTCAAAAAAACAAAGTGTAATCACCTTGATCACTAATAAGGCCGCCAGCTAGATGCCATGGCAACAAACACTATGTAAATGAGAGAACGATGAAATATCTCTTGAATAAATTAAAAAAAAATCTTATCCATGGCTGCCTAGCTACATGTGGGACATTACCTCACAGAACAGTAAAAGCAGCAGAATAATATTTACAGAAGAGGAAAAGAAGTTTTACGTGACACATTTGCTACCCTTCCTCTTAGTTACGATAACCCTCACTCCCACTTTCTTACTACTGTTACTCTCTATGCAGCACTTCAGTTTGTAAGAATTATTTCAAATACAGATTATGAAGAGATTGATGATTGCAAGCTGGGGCTAGAAAATCCAAACTATGATCTGTTTTAATTAAAAAATAAAGTCCAACCAAGGAAAAAACTATGTAGACACTAAGTTTTCAAGGGCAGCTATTTTTGGTGTTGCTGTTTGTTTGTTTGTTTGTTTTGTTTTTTAATTACTGGTTCTAAATAGAAGTTGTGGATCTGATGCAGAAAATACCAAACAAGATTTCATGACTTCTATAATAAAAGAAGTCAAACTAAGTCACAAAACTCCTTTCTACTGAATGGAGTTGCTTAGCCCTAGCCATTTCTGAGTACAACAAAAACTGACCTGAACCAAAACAAGTTCCCCATTTCACTTCACACTGAATTGGGTTTTTTTCCAGATTTTTTGAAGAGTATTTTCAACTGCATGTTAGACATATAAGATCTCACAAAATAAAATCTCATAAGGTTTTCAATTTACCTATGTAAAATTGAACAGTAAATAGGTTTCACCAAATATCAAACTGAATCTCCAACCTTTCCAAGTCTTACAGACTGCAAGACAGGTTTTCTTTAAAAATATGAACAGCTCTGGAACACCAGTAATGTTTTTAAAGGTTTGTACTACCCAGAAAAGCAGGCAGTGAAATCACTCCAGAGGAGTGTTGCTCAACTCAGCAGTCAGCCTGAAACACACAATCTACACAGATGAGTCAAGTCTGGATAATCCCTTCATGCTCTGTCAGGTTGGGAGTATGGGGTTGTTTTTCAACTGCATACCTTCAATAAATTCCACTTTTCTGCATTTACATTTTTAGACAACATTTTTAAAAATGTGTTGTGATTTGCAGATGTGTAAATATATTGCTGGTGGAGTTCTGCCTATCAGGACCTTGTAAATAATAACTGCCTTTTTAAAAGATTGCAAATGGTAATGTTAATTATAACACCACCGAGTGACTGCCTGCCCTGTGGAAGTCCAGGGTAGTAATAAAGGTGTAATAACTATGGCAAGGTTTGTAGAGAAATTAAATACCTGGATATGTTTCAACTACCTCTATCTGGAAAAGACAAAAAGAAAGGAAGTTTTTGAATTCTCAAGACTAAACAGTCTAATTAATAAAAAGGAAGGGGGAACAGAGAGAGAGAAAGAAAAATTTTCCCCTACTTCCTTAAAATAGTTGCAAATGTTTTAAACTGACATAACAAATTCTCTTTAAAATAAAAACATGCTTGAATTCATACCCATTCATGACAGATTACACTCTGGAGCATCACCAGATAGAAAATTTATTTCACTAAAATATATCTAATACAATCTTGGAAGAAGTCTTATTTCCAACTTGCAGGCACTCTATATGGGCAAATGGTTCGTGGTAAGGAGACAGTGGAAGAGGAAATACCCTGCCAGTTTGAAAACCCAGACATACTTGAATGGTTTATTTTCCTTCCAGATCAAAAGACTATGCTACTGCTATCTTAAGTATGTCGTTAATTGCATAACCCTAAGAGCCGCAATTATGAATTATGTCTCTGCTTTGCAAACACAGATCAAGAGGACAAGACAGTAAACACAACATTTCAATACATCTGTTGTTCAAGAAGTGTGGTCTACTGTTCAGCAGGATGGGCTTACTTAACCCAACTTTTGGCAACACCATCGCTTAAGGGCTATTTGGCCCTGACAGAGCTACCAAACCAGAACCTGGCACGGGAGTGTCAGACAGGGCCAGGTCCGACTGCAGAAGGTGCTGCAAAGCACAGCCCAGCGGAGTTTCCTCCCCCGGGGGCATTATAAAATAACGTCACCGCTCCACAAATACAACCCTACATGCCCGGCGTTACTCAGACATGCCTGCAGGATTAGGTCCAAAACACACAGGTGACTGAAAATTAAGTTTTAAGAGAGATTAAAACTTAAAAGCCACAGCCAGATCTGAGAATGGTGAAGCCAACACTTATTACGGTTCTGTTAAATAGAGCAAGCCAACTTATGCAGCCGGTTCTCTCACTCAAAGCGCAGGGAATAAACCAACACTTTCTCATAGACTTATTAAAAGAAAACCCACAAAACTAACCCCAAAAGTTAGAAGCAGGGACACGGCAGGGGAGGTTAGAGTACCTGAAATAACTTTTAATTCCTTCTCAGGGTCCCGGTGCCCGCGGGTCCCCGGGACGGTGCAGCCCGGCGGGCGGGCCAGCCCGGCGCTGGGGAAGGGGCACGGCCGACCCGCCGGCTCGGCCCGCAGGCTCCGCCGGGGTCGGCAGCGACCAGCTCGGGGAGAACTTCCCGGAGGGACGGGGCCTGCCGAGGCGCGGGGCGATCCCGCCGGCCCCCCGGGACGCAGGGCCGGGGCTGTCTCCTCCCTCCCCGGGAAGCGCCGCCGCGCCGCGGCCTCCGCCGCCCGGGCGACCTCCGCCGGGCGACCTCGGGGAGGCGCCGGGGGCAGGGCCGGAGCCGCGGCCCCGTGCGGACACACGCGCCGGCCCGGCCCCAGCGGTGGGCGGCGCCGGGGCGGGGGCGCGGAGCGGGGCGGTCGCGGCCCGGCGCTCCCCCGCCGCCATCGCCGGGGCCCGCCCGCGGCCGCCGAGTCCCCGCGCCCCCGCAGGCGGCCACCCACCTGCAGCCCGCCGGCAGCCGCTGCCGCGGGCGGGAGCAGCGGCTGCAAGGTCGCCTTCACCTCGCCCGCCGCCGCCGCGCATCCCCGCCGTGCTGCGGGAGGCGCTGCGCGGGGCCCCGCTGGCCGCCGCCGGGCCGCCCCTCCCTGCTGCCCGCCGGGCAGAGCCGGGGCGGGAGGGGGCACCTGCTGCCGGGGCACCGCGAAACCCTGCTGGGGAACCGCCCGGCCCGGCCCGGCCTTCGCAGCGGCCGCGGGGAGTGGGCAGGCGAGGGACACGGCTCCCTCCCAGCGCCGTGGATTCCTGCCGAGGGTTCCCGAAGGCCGCCGTGGTGACCCCCTCCCAGAACACCGCAACGTTACCGGCTGGGGCCAGCGGGGACGGCCGGGGTGGTGCGGCCTGGGCAGCTGGTCCTCCGGCCCGGCAAAGGTCCCGCCGCCATCGGAGAACACCTCCCGGTGCTCAGGGGCGCTCAGTGTGCCGGTGCCCCTGTGCCCCACTGCCCCTGCTTTGCAGCTGGAGAAAGGGCTGTCGGAGAGCTTTTTTGGCAGGGATACTTAACTCCGTCTACGGCAGAGTTGGTAGAGACCTTAATTTCCGTCCCGTGTTCTAATTGCGAGATGTTTCCTCCCACCCCGCAGTTACTTTTATGCAGATGAAGCAATCTACCTCTCACCATCCCACCCTGCCTTCTGTGCTCCTGCCGAGGCGGCTTAGCGCCAGGAGCTGCTTAGAAGATATGAATGAAAGTCTGGTGTTGTGATTACGGCTTGTAGCTGACGGAGCGTATCGTATACAAGATAAGACATACAGCTATTGCTACTCACAGGCTACAAGTGTGGATATATATAACTATTATCCACTCCTGTTCTACTATTGGAGTTTAGAAAAACTTCTTCCGGTACCTAGCAGAAAATGGGCTAGATGTTTTAAATTCTGCATCCAATTTACACAAATCCTACACAGAAGGCCCACTTTGCAGTGGTGCAATAAAATGTGATAGATTTGCCTGGACAAAATACTATGGAGGCACAGGACTATGCTGCTATATATGTTTCAATAAACCCTCCCTCTTAGAGATGGTACAGTCTGTAGAGCGAGGGCATGATTTTGTTCATTTGACTCATTTATTATAAGGTGTGTTGAATTTTTCGTACCCATCCTAGGTATGAGTTTGGAGGGTTCAGTTCTCAGTGCAAGAGGCCACTTCTCTCCCCTGTTTAGTTACTTACGCGTGCAGAAGGAATTTGAGGCCTCTACTTAACACAAAAAAAAAAAAAAAAAAAGCTTGTTCCCTCAGTTCCACATGCTGATTCTGTTTCAAGCCAGAGTGGTGTCCAAATGTGACTATGAATATTAATTTAATAGAGGAAATTGGTGAAAGCAAGACTGAAGAATTAGACACTTGCAGTGCTACTTTGCTGCTTATTATGGAAGCCTTTGCCGGTGATTGAGGAACATATGAGTCAGTTAAAAGCACTGCAGTGCTGGAGAAAATTATTCTCAATTATCAGAATAAGAAAGAGCAGAATAATATGGAATTGATTTTGAAGCTACTTAAAGTCACAAGAGTTTCACATTATGTTTTTTCTTGTTATATTATAGTTCTTGATAAGTTCGTGTAAACCATCTTTTTGACCTTATCTGTTCTGAAAAGATTGTGATCCTACAGTATCTTAAAATATGCTACCCATAAACATGAGTTACGTCTGCTCAAGCGTGAGGTTTACTCAAAATGAAGTGAGATGCTTGATGTCATTGCACTGCTCATTGGTAAGACCTTATTTCTTCCCCATTGCCTTAGGAAGCAATGTACTTCCCAATTAAAGTATGTACTTGGGAGTCAGAATCCAGGATTTTTCTGTTCCATGACCATAAAATGGAAATACAGCAGTGGTACCTTGGAAGAAGGGGTTGTAAGTGTTAAAAGACTTTCTCAAGGTAGGACAGTAGAAGCTGGGGATTCATATTCCTCCAGAACTTCCCTCATCTCTCTCTTCCTTCCCCATAGCATGTCCCCAGTCACTCCCACATCACTGTTCTTCAGGTTTTGATGAAGCTCAGAATTTCCGTAGCTTCTTTGGGACTTTCACAAGTTTCATAACACTTTCCTGGTCAGCTAATGGGAAAAAAAGTTGTTGTTAGTGAATGAGAACACTCTGGAGGATAATCAGTACTTAAAAGCAAGAAAAGGAAAAATGGGACCTGCTGCCCTCTTTGGAAACCAGAACCTCCTTTGTTTCCAGAATCTGTATTGGTATAACTACAACATAACAGTGCAGAATAGCAAAAGTATATAAACAATACTTTTTCTGTTAAACTGGTCCTAAACATATTAACTTTGATTCTCTTCCATCTTCTTTATGAATCTCTGTTATGTCAAACTTTCTTTTGCAGCTTTGCATCAGTTATCACTTTTTAGTATTAAAAAAAATACACATCTTTTCAGAATTTCTTTGCCTTCTCAATTATGCTGTGCATTTAATCTGCCATTTCCTCTCTTCCCTTATGAGCAACAATTGTTTTTCAGGACTTGAATATTTTCTGCTTCTGACATAGAGAATACCCCTTGTATTCCTGCAGTTGTCCAGAGAGCTGTCCAGTCCCTATAATTGAACGTACTCCTCACCCTCTTGGTCTGGGAAACCTGCATTTTGTGCCTCTATCCACAACAACCCGCTTCTTAGGTAAATCCCGCCCAAACTCTCTTGATCCAGCTTGTGCTTGAGATTATCAAATATGCCAGAGCAGATAACAGATTTCAGCAGAATGTCATAGTATTAGTGTCTGCTGCTTTTGTCTTCTTGAATAACTGCTGCTTTACTTGAAGGTCTTGAACATTAAGTCCATTTCTTGCTGGCTTTCTGCTTCAGCCTTCGAGTATCTTTTACAGGTATCTTCTAGTATCCTTTTCTTCCATTTAACCACAGTAATGGTCCTTGGTTCTAAACTGACGTTCTTGAAATGTCTATATGATTTCTCAGCTCTTTGTTTATCCTCTACCTGGCATTATTTTACCTTTTCAGCCATCACATTTTGTGCAGATACTTTCTCATTTGAGAATCTTGTGCAGCTTCTGCCATTATTTGCGTAGAAAAGCCTACATGCTTATATGACAAAACTGCTACAACAATGTACATTATGTTAATTTGTGTTACCACAGCAACTGAGTCATACAGAAATGTAGTGTTCCATTGTCTTGTATTGCAACCTTGGTATTCTGATAAAAAGCTACAGAAATTTAGTCTGTGTGGAGCTGGAGCAGAGCTGGAGCTTAACTAGTTGATAACTGTGCCTATTGAGTAGGTATCAACAGCTGGTGTCAAAATGGGTTTACCAGCTAGGATCCTCTAGGAATCTAAGTCCTGTTCTGTTCAGTTCTGTGAGGAATTGCAGGCATCATGGAGGAGGGGGTTAGGATCTTGCCATTTAGAAAACTGGTCTAGAAAACACAAGGCATAGATCGGGAGCATGAACACAAGCTGCTGAGCCTGGGCAGGTGTAACAAATTCCACAAATTCAGGAAAGGAAATACTGGTGAAAAAGTAATCTGTCAGAAAGGAATATGAAGTCTACCACAAGTCACTAGCGGAACATGAGTCAGCAATGTGTTTTCATGGCAAAAATAGTAAACATTCCAGGAAGATGTACGTGTGGGAAGCAATCTGTGAGCTCTATGCAGTATTGATAGTACATTAGTGGAATGACTGTTTTTGTGCATCATAGCTCAAGAAGAACGTGAACCATCAGGAGTCAGGCAGGTGGCAATAAGGATGAACACAGAACTGGGAAGACCAAAGGAGCTGGAGTTGTTCAGGCTAGAGGAAAGAAGGCAGACATACTAGGAGTCTTTGTATACTTAAAAGACCATTGCAAAGAAAAAGGGAATAATCTATTCTTGGTAGGTAGGGTAAGATGTAATGGACTTAAATTGCATCAAGGAGGAAAAGCTTTTCTAATGGTAACATTAGTGAGGCACAGCTTTATATCACAGAGAGTGTAATAGTGTCTCCGTTACTGGATGTCTTTTAGTACGTACTGGGCAAATAGCAAGCACTATTGATCTGGCATTTAAACTGGACGATGGACTAGGTGACTAATCAAGGTCTGTTACAGACCTATTTTTCTGTGATTACATGTAATCTGAAGCTTGTCATTAATCATCATTTCTTTATCCAGTCCCACTGTACATTCTGTTTTCTTTTTAAATTGTATCCCTCATCATTCCTGGGTTCTCTGGAGGACAAAAAAACATTTTGTCCCATTTTTCTCTATATATACTCAAAGACCAAAGCCTTTCTCATTTTTCTGGCAGCCCACGACAGATACAGACTGAGTTGTACTGCATTTTACTCCTAACTATTATAACTACACAAGTCAAACATGCAATAGAAATTATTTGGATGACAGTTGTCAGTTTATTCAGATATGTTCTACATAAACTATACGTAATGTTAACATAAATCTGAGACTCTTTAGTCATATACTAGACAAAATTACTCAATTCATAAAATGTTACTATATTCCAGACCTACCTAATGCACATAATCCCAAATTCTCTGATCATCACTGCCAGGAACCCATTAAAGTTTTTAATGTGAATTTTAATGTTACCTACTCTTTAGGCATGATTTGGTTTTGGTTTTGTATATTCAAAAAAGCCATTCACTTTTACATTTCAATTTAAAATAAATAACTTATACCAAGAACAATTGGCAT